TGAGTGGTGGGCAAAGGGAAGCTTTGTGTATTTGGTATATTGGCCAAGTGCAACAGCAAGACTGGGCTAAAAATTTCAGCTTGTCATGACTGCAGTCTGCAAGTACCGGCGAATTACACACAACCTCTGGCGAATGGCTGTCAAATGTCTTCTTAGCGCTGGCGAAATTCGCCGTTCGCCGGCCTAAAACAAGACGGGTGAATTATACTAATTTAGTTTAGTCCCTGTTCACATGCATGAGCCCAGTTAACAGGGAAACTCAACTGAGTGAGATCTAACTGAGATCTGCATGCCCTTTGTTAACGCATATAAAATTCAATTTGTGCATGTTCATGTGAGAAACAAGTCAGCCCAGCTCGGCGAGATCTCACCTTGCGCTAGGTGGGAACTCAGTCCAGTGGGAGAACATTTTCCATATAAACGCTTTATTCCACCTGACTGGGATGGACATTTTCTGATGATTACCGGTATATAATTTTAAAATAATTTAAAATAACAATTGAAAGCTCAGATAACAGGACAAATAAAGTCCTAAATTAAGTCCTGGGGTCTTGTAGATGGAAATTATCGAGTGTAAATTTATATATATATTTATTAGACCTAACCAGGAACGTTTGCAAAAAATGCAACTATACAAGTCCCTGGCAGAGTTGATTCCGGTACAGCGCTCTTACCAACTGAGCTACAGAGATACGTTTTTAAGCTCTAACCACAAGTTCGTGTATATATACTGGGTAACTGGCATGTCAGGGAATGGGTAAATGTCGAGATTTTGTTGGCATCTCACTTGACTGAATAATAGTTGAAGGGTGTTGTAAGTGGAAATTATTGAGTGCAATATAAATTGGAATATAAATGGACCATTTGCATTATAGAGTAAATTTTGGTCTAGATAAAAAAAATCATCACAGCTTGAAAGAGCATCACAAAATTAGTAATATTCCAAAGTTTCGTTGCGAAATATTGTAAAATGCGGATAATATAGCCTTGCGAAATTTGCAATTTTCAGTCATTTTGTATTACAAACGGGAAATTGATGCCCCAACACCCGATTGGGCTGTCAATTTTCCGTTTGTAACAGAAAATGACTGAAAAACGGCAAACTTCGCAAGGCTACATTCAGGGCCGTATTAACCACGTGGCAGATGCGGCATATGCCGCGGGCCTCGCGCTTATGGGGGCCTCGCGCTTTACTGTGCCACGCCCATTTTTACGAGAACACGCCTATTTTCTATTGGGATACGCCCATTTTAGGTGCCTCGCGAATTAGAGACATCGCGCATTTAGGGCCCCTAGGATTGGCAGTTTACCCCAGGAAAAATATACAATACTCGCATGCATGTAATCTCCAGTTACGCTGATCTGTTATATATGATCCTGTTTATACTTGATGACCCAACGACTGGGCCAGGCAGGCAATTGTTTATAATTGATGCCAATCAATTGAAATATTGAAAGCAATTATTTAACGATTTTGTGTGTCTTTGAATTGCAAAGGTTTTCATAACCGGGGGGGGTTGAGGGGCCTCGCGCTAAAATCTGCCGCGGGCCTCGCGCGACGTTAATCCGGCCCTGGCTACATTATGCGCATTTTACAACATTTCGCAACGAAACTTTGGAATATTACTAATTTCGTGATGCTCTTCCAAGCTGTGATGAAATTTTTGTCTAGACTTGTCTAGATCAAAATTTAGTCTATAATGCAAATGGTCCATTGGGTTATAAAATTTCTCAGTATAATGGTTTTTTAAGTTTAGGTTCAAGCGACTGAACAGCAAGAGAGGGCTTTATTTCGCCATGCAGGAAGGCTGTTCCATAGCCATGCATAGGGTTGACAATCCTACTGAGAAATAGATTTCAGAAAGAAGATGTTCTGCAGAGGTTTGGTCGGTAGGAATCAGCAGAGCTAAGGCAAGTATGATAATGATATGGATTGCCTAGCAGATAGTATGCAAGTTTTGAGTAATATGATGACCAGCTCTACATTTGTAAACAACATAATAACTTTTATCTCGAACCAGTATGGCATGGGGAGTATAGGTCAATTTGCTTTAACCTACAATAGTATTGAATGATTAGCATAGATCAAAAATAAACCTAACCTACCCTTGCCACAATTAGAAGCAGACTTAAATTAACTAGAAAAGTAAAAGCACATATACACTTGCAATTTTTTCTGATGCATGTGAACAGGCCTCGAATTTCCCTGAAATCAATCGACGGCAATGGCGTTAAAAAATGCCGTAGAACGTAACAGCTGTCTACGGCAATTTTGGCAGTTTCCACAGCATTTTTTCAAATTACTGTTAATACTAAAAATTTAATTTTATTGTTACTTTGGATTGTTGACAAGCTAGAAACATGTTTACGTATTTCTTTAGTGTTTTTTTTTCCCGAAGGAAACTGAATCTAAAATAGTAATTTACCCACGATTTGATCAACATCTGAATTCAATTATCAATTTGAAAATAGTAATGCACAGTGCATAGTATAAAAATTGCCGTCGTTGCCACAATGATCCACGGCATTTTGTTCTCCCTCGACGGCAACTGCCGCGATAAAATTCAAGCCCTGATGTGAATGAGTAGATAAGCTATAGGTATGTTCTGAATATGCATGTGGGCCCTCATCTGAACATTCACAACTCATCCACTTGTTCACATCCATGAAAAGAAAATTGCATCTAAAATTGCAGCAAAAAATTGTGTATGTAAACAGGCCTCAAAGAACAGTGTATTTCCAGTACCTTTGTGTCTCTTCGGTTCACAAGAGCTCCAAACATTTTATGCGAGAAGTCAAAGGCAGTCAACATCTCTCGTGCTAACACTGGTCCATGCATAACAATGGCAGTCAATAACTTCAACACAGCCATAGTTACTCTCGCAGGTGAAGCAGAACTCAAACAATGGTAAACAAGCTTTCTGTGGTTGTTCAGAAGTCTTGATACAATGACCGGTGCTCGTGACTTTGTTCTCATGTCATCCTCTGCGAGTTGAAGGATGATAACTTCAAGAATTTCCACAACAATTTCAACCTAAATTTGGTGGAGTAAATTGAACTTGGTAAACGTAATTAATATACAGTAAGGCGCCTCTCAACATTTTGACACTTTACCCTAAATGCACAGAAAAAAAATTAAAAACCATTAGAAAAAATAAGTTGGCCTAAAAAAATACCTGTAGTTCTGGTTCCCAACCGACCCTATTTTTTTTCTGCCGACCCTATTATTTTTTCCAACACAATTAACCATGCGACCCTATTTTCTCCGGGTGGTTGCGGGCTGCTCATACAGCGTGCCAAAATGCCCGTTGAGTAATTAATAATAATACTAATTATTGAACCAAATTGCCTAAATTCGTCCATAGGAAATATGCATCTCTAGTTAACATTGATGTCAGGAGTCAGGACTCTACTGAAAATCGCCCAGCAAAAACCGCTATGAAAAAATATTTTTAAAAAATTTATTTCCGACCTACCGACCCTAATTTTTTCATGATAATCATATGAAACCGAAACCACTGGTATTTTTTTAGGCCTTACTACAGTATAAAGGAAAATTGATATTTCCAATTAATTCAATCAAATTAATGTAAAAAATAGGCCTCGTATAATCCATTTAATTAATGGTTTATTAATTTCAAAATGTTTTTTCTACAAACTGTCGGAATTTTGATTCGCATGTGCAATTACCATGGCAATTTTCGTCATGCAGCAATTATCATTAAATACTTTTTTGAAATTAATTTTGAAACATATACTCGCGATATAAGTTTTATTTTACAACGATGTTTCGACGCTATTTCACTCATCATTTTCAAGTTGAATTATTTACATAATTGTGTATTTACTAATAAAAGGTTCATGTCACGTTTCCTACTACTCGCGGTATTATAAATATTTACTAGCCAAACATGCTTGCACTTTTTCATTAATACTTCTCGAACCATGTAATTTCCTGTACTAATCCAGGCATGATCCATGGGGCTTGTATCTGTGACAATTAATACACACTGTGCGTATTATTGTTTTAATCGGCATGGTTTTTAACCAATTAGAATCGAGTAAATTGACTAAAATTATATTACAAATAATATATCTGTCTTACAGTGTGCAGATTAGAAGAATAATTCTTAACAAGAACAAGGAAGACAAATTGTGGTGTCAGCAGTCAGGGGCGTAACTTGACTCTAAGTATCGGGGGGGGGGGGGGGGGGGGGGGGCGTGGAGTCATTTTGCCCTGGAAAAGGGCGTGGCCTGCAACAAATGCCCTTCAAAAGGGCGTGGTCTGTAATACAACAACTATATAACAAATATATAATACAACAGACGAAATTATAGCGTTTTGACATTAGACGTTTACCATTTCGAGATGATGTATTAAAGTCGACCCTTCATTATTGTCGACATTACAATGAATACTGTAACAATAATATTAGCATATATTAGTTCTTATTTTAACAGAGTTAGCTGAGTAAAAACCATCTACACATATGGAGTTCATTGCTTGAACCGAAATTTGAGTTTTCGATTTTTTCTGGTTGCCCAACTTTTCAGAATCACATTAAGATCAATCGTATCTGTTAAGTCCTTTTCGGTTGAAAGGACGATTAAATCTTCAAGCCGTTCACCTTTCATCGTTGACTGCAAATAATTCTTGACAATCTTCATTTTGCTGAAAGGCCTTTCTATGTCTGGCCACACTTTATGGCGCAGTAAACAGAAGTTTTTTAGCATCTGTAAACGTTTGGGAAAATTTCTTTATTTTCAAAGGCAATCTTTCCTGCGTCATGGACTGTCTTACATGTTTCTTCAGTCTCATTGACAAAGTTCGCAAAATTCTCAAGTTCTGCAGCTAGTGACAAAGAATCTACGCTGACCGACGGAGGAAAAAGTCCAGCGACTTTTTCAACTTATTCAAAAATCGGTTGGGTCATCGATGGCCGAAGGATAACAGCTAAAGGTTTGATCTTTTACAAACAATCCTTTATGTTTTCTCTATACTATGTATTGAGAGAATCAAGGACTTCAGTCATACATTTTCGATAGCTGGCGTGGAGTGAAATGGCCGCCGACGTCTCAGGGCTGTCATTCAACCGTCTGCTTATTCTTCTACCACACTTTTTAGCAAACTCGTCCGCGGGATTGGAACCTAGCGTCTTCGCAAACTCAACACTGGCGTCTATTTGATCATTTAATTCAGATTCGGTGTTTCGAATTCTTTCCAACGACGTAACAGTTTGATCAATCAGTGCAAGACCATCTAGGATATTAAGGTCTGGCTTCTGCATCTGCACAGTCAGGATATTGGTCTTTCTCATAATCAGCCTCATGAACATAATAGCGAAAACAAACTCAAACTTGGCAATTTTCTTTCGGAGAGAAGCTGCTTTGGTTCTTGCCAATGCGTCGTTGTCTTTCTCTGCTACTTCCGCTAAGGAATTTCTTATGGCTTCAAAAGAACTCCATACTGCTTCAATTGATTCACTTCTGTACACCCATCTTGTCTTTGCGAGATTCCGTAGTTTGAGAGCGTTTTCAACTTGTTTCATGTGATCTCGCAATACTGTATCTCGTTTACAGCTTTTGCTGAAAAATACATAGAGCCGGATCTTCGAGCAAGCTATACATCTAGACAAACATGGAGGCTATTGAACAATGTACAGTACATTGAATGTATTCGACCTAAATAAAAATTGAAAATTATACAGTATGCTAATTAGAGTATATGTACATTAAAAGACACGTTTTAAATAGTTAATTCCTAAGTACTGGTACAGTAATGTTCAACATCGCACTTGACATAATACCTATGACCTTGGCATGGGATATAAGGAATGTTACGTCCAATCAACTCCTGCAAACATTGTTGAGCCCCATTGAAAATCCTAGACATCGAGGTTGTGTAATCATAAGACTGATACACCAACGCATCTTGGCCACCAGGTATTCGTGCTTTAAGAGAGTCGAGAATCTCCTTCGCATGACCTTTGCTCGCGGTTTTGTCTGTTGTTTCTTTCATCTCCAGAACTCTCTCGTTAGGCACGTTGTTTTCATCAACGTAACATACTGCCACAACGAGGCAGTATTTGAAGTATCCGGAGACGAATCGGCCTTGACCGAATACAATTCAGCTGAAACGACATCCCTTACAATACGATTCTTAACATCTTCTACATGTAGATAAATTCATTTTGGGAACTGGGTGATAGGTATTTTACTGCATAAGGTTTCATGTTATCGTCGGACAGCCACGACTGAAGTCGACTATCATGTCTTGCAACGAGATTTGTTATCTGAATAAAGTTCCTTTTGTGCTTTTCATCGTGCCCTCTAAAAGCCAGCTGTTGCCTTGCCAATGTTCTAGCGATGTCCAAAAGGATCTTTATTGCTTCTTGGTTTCGCAGATTGTTTTCTCCTCGTGCATTCTGACTTCTCGTAATTTCTCTTTATAAAACTTCTATTTATAACTGTACTTACTTCATCTTAAAAATCTTATAATTACAGCTTGTACGGTTAGCCCAAATTAAAATTGTCAAAATTGGGAGGTTTCTTTTTAAATTTGTGCATGTGATTATATGATATATTTGTCCCGATGCAGGGCAAATGTTGGCGATAATTGCCCTACCAAAGCACTGCCCTGCACATTTGCCCAACAAAATTGTAAGAACGCCTTTCTTTGCAGCAAATTACTCTGCAATAATTCACCCTTGGGGGTGTCACCCCCCCCCCCCCAGTTACGCCCCTGTCAGCAGTAATTTTTGTGTGCTAGAATGACAATCGTATATGACAAATCACAGTGTCAGTGTGTAAAATTAATGTAGCTTCGGGTCATCCACTATTGAAATATTATTCAGTCCATCCATTAATGTTTTACAAAATAAAATTACTAGAATTCCATTGTTGCAATAATTACCTCAAATAATGATCTTTGCTCTGGACTTTGATTCAAAACTTCAAATACCTCTGAACAATCTGGACGACTTTGTACATATTTCAAAATGATTTCATGTTTTTCTTCTGCATTCTGTATAGTTGTCAGGAATTGTTTGAAACCTATAACAGGATGCCACTCTCAATAATATCCAAAACCTAGCTCAAAAGCCTACATTATAGACTCTAGCCTGATTCCCCCAGAGTCTATGAGGTGAAGCCTCAAATTTAACTCTTGCAAACGCACAAAATGCATGGTAAAATTTTAGCCTTTGCTAGTAAAAAACATTTCATCAGCAAACTTTTGCAAGTATGGACATGGGAGTACCGGGTGGGGGGCAGCCCCCCCCCAGTTTGTTGGGCAGACAAAGCCAGTCGGGCAATATTCGCTTCACAGTCGGGCAATATAGGCTTATTATAAAAATAAATGGGGGCAAATTCTGTCAATTTTGTGGGAAGTTATTTTTTTCCTTCCCGTACGCCCATGAGTATGGAGTTCTTTTGGGTGAATTGAGTAATGAAATGTTTCAGAAATGTGATTTTTGATAGTCTCTGATGACTGAAGCTATCTATTACAGCTGCCAGCAGTTTCATTATTATCCACATATACAGGCATTCTGGCATTCCACGGACAAAAATAGCAAATTCCACAGAATTTTTAAGGTCAATTGCAGTTCCGCGACCAAAATGAGTAATTCTGAAGACAAAATTCAGATGTTCATTCTAGGCAAAGTATCAATATCCACCGCTATAAACAGTAATTGTAGGGTCACTTCAATTTAGATAGTAAAACTGATATATTAGAAAGCTGAATAAAAGTTCTCGGTTTCACAAGAAATCTGACATATTTAACATACAGTGAGTCCCAACATAAAAAACTGCATCTATGTAAAAACTGTAATTACTCGTTTGAGAGCAGTCCCCGAATAAGCGCCATACTAATTTTCAATCTGCGGCTCTTAATCGAAGTACCATGTGACAGCAAGTTTGAGAAACCAAAATAGAAACAATCACAGTGCATGGATTTTTGCTAACGTTTTGCCACTGCCAATGTTTTAAAATTGTATTTATCTACGGTCATGGAAAACTGAATTTTCATCAAACATTATCAAACTTTTTTCACGAACCAAAGGTACATATCGTAAATGACATTGTGTGAACCTGAAGTGCAGTTGCAGGAATATTACTAGAAATTGAAAATTTAAAATGCAAATAAATGTTAGTGGCTAGTGAAATGATAAATATATATCAATGAAAGTCCTTCTACTTTGAAGGAAACCTCCGTTTGTAAGGCTTTAAATTTTACAAAACATCTTGTATCAGATCACACAAATGTATCGTTTTGTGAATTTAAGGGAACAATAAAAAAAAACTTTACCAAAGTTTAATTAATTAGTGGAATTCTCTGCAGTTTAATAAACTGAATTCCGCAATTTTTGGACAATTCCGCAAAATCGCGGAATTCCAGAATGCCTGCATATACAAGATATAGAAACATATCTTGCTGTTTATGAGTTAGGGTCTGTAGACAGAGTAAAATTTATAATAAAGTAGGGTGCATCTAGGCAGATAGGCCAGTTAACCCATTAAGTGCCAGCACTCTCCCCTTAACAGGTAAAATTGTCTGGAGTTAGACAGAGTAAAGTAATAAAGTAGGGTGCATCAGGGTGCAATGCGACTCAATGGGTTAATGGGCAGATAGGCCAGTTAACCTATTAAGTGCCAGTGCTCACTCCTTGACAAGTAAAATCGTCTGGCGTTAGACAGAGTAAAATAATAAAGTAGGGCGCATCAGAGCGCAATGCGACTCAATGAGTTAAGACGTCAAACATTTTGATGCTCGTTGAAGAACTCTCTCGTGCATGTATTGTTTCATCCAAATATTTGACCTTAAAACCATCTTATAGCTATATCATATTTCCATATTATCTTGCAATTTATATATTATAAACTGATATACTTCAGTATTATTCTAACTTTACTTCTCACCTTTCAGTCTGGTTTGTTTCACACCAGTTAATTTTAAAAATTCTTTCACGATATCTTCGCTACTTTCACCACCAGGATCTTTACTCACCATCTTTTTGCGGGCCTTCTTCCTTCGACTCTCAGAAGCCCCATCTTCCAGCCCAGCTATCTTACGTTTTAGGGCTTTTTCGACCATAATTTTATCAGAATGTTACTCTAAAGAGTTTCTTTTATACGTGGTCTCCTTTGTGTCGGCATTTCTACAATATTCTTATAAAAAATCGCGATTAGAACTGAAAATTTCAAAATTTTTAATTTGACTCATGCTTGCTTTTTTGAAAAATAAACACGTGCATGAGCCCGCAATCACACATGGATCACCGCAAAGTACTTCATGTAAACAGATAGAAATTCTATCTGAGCCGCGACCAGTGCTTCCATTTTCAAGGAAATTTCCTTTTCTAAGGAAATTCTAGTGTCGAAAAGGAAAATCTAAGGAAGAGAAAAAATCTAAGGAAATCTAAGGACTTTTTCCCAACAACTTAAATATTCATCCAAGTGCATTAGTGCAGAAGAATGTTTCGCTATTTCTTGAATTTTTGAGTGAATTATCAATTATGTTCAATACCAAAGACACCAAAAACGGATCAAAATTGGGAATCGACTCACATTACTTCAATCCCATTCCCATTTTTGAGGACTTCATTTCCCATTCCCAGTGGTCAAATCCCAGTCCCAGCACTATGTTTGCATTTGGATTGGTGAAGGACAGCCTGACTGAGATGACCAATGTTCTAAGTTCACAAGATCAGCTTGGAGAGATGCTACATCGTCCTGAGATTTAATTGCAGAGAATAGCTTAGCGTCATCGGCAAACATTGCAACTCGAGAGGACAAGGCTGCTTCGGGTACTGATCATTCATGTATAACAGGAAGTGTGCAGGACCAAGTATTTTGAACATTTATTTATTTATTTTGTCAAATATGACTCGAACCAATTCAATAGATTACCGCCGATACCTGCAGAATTGGATAGTTTGCGACCGGGTCACCGATGGCTTTGTTGGTATCGAGGGAATTAAGTATAGTCTCCACTTCGGGTTTCAGTCGGGGTAAGTTCAATTTCAGATGAAAACTTGACCATTGGAAGAACTGGTGGTGGTTACTGGATCCGTGATGCTGCATCACTCGGATTTTTGTCTGCTGATTAAAGCTGCTGTCAATTTCACGCAAATAGTTTTCTCGCTTTCGTTTAATAACCGCTGGCCCCAGAACGCATGTTTTTGTACATTTCTGTCAAATAACTGGTGTGCGCGACTTTCAATTTTCTACGAATGGGTTGTTTCTTCTTTATTTGATACTAGTAGAACTAAATGGGCGAAGGCGTATTTAATTAACTATATATTGCAGGAAAGAGTATAGGTAATAATTATGATTCTTTGCGATTGTCATGGATAATGTAACCGCTTAAAATTAATCAATAGACCTTTCCCCTTATGAGTGAAATTTTGATCTAGACAAGCCTAAACAAAAATTTCATCACAGCTTCAAAAATAATCACAAAATTAGTAATATTCCGACGTTTCGTTGCGAAATGTTGTAAAATGCGGATAATATAGCCTTGCGAAGTTTGCCGTTTTTCAGTCATTGTATTACAAATGGGAAATTGATAATCAGTTTGATCATCTGATTATCAATTTCCCGTTTGTAATGGAAAATGACTGAAAAACGGCAAACTTCGCAAGGCTATATCATCCCATGCACTATCGCCTCTTGACATGTATTTCTTGCTTTTATATTTATTTGGTTAAATATTTCAACTTGAATGAGAAATTTATTTTATTAAAGAATTCTTCGGATTGGATCGGATTGGAATTATTTTTCAAAACTCGGATCGGATTCGGATTAGACAATTTCGGATCGGATTTTAAACATTAGGCAATTGTCGGATTATAAACGTCCAATCCGATCCGATGCACACCTGTAATCTATTGTCAGTATTTTAAAGGTATATTATTTAAATGATAAAGGTGTGCATGATTTTGAAAAAAGAATGATTCTGATCAGCAAATTATTGCGAGCAGGAGTGTTTTATTAGGTTTAAAGCCACGCGCAGCGCGAGTGATTAAACGGCTTCAAACACGACTACAAATTCAATAGATTTACTGCCTTGTTAGTAGTCTTTATATAAAGAATACTAATGAGAACACGACTACAATAGATACTGCCTTATTAGTATTCTTTATATAAAGAATACTAATTAGGAGTGTTTTATCAGGTTTAAAGCCACTGCACGTGACATATTATGGTTGACATGATTTGCCAATAAGCTTATGAATTATTAATGAGTGTTTGAAGTTGATATCATGCACATGTTGCTTGCAAAATTAAACTTTAGTTCTCTACCAGTATAAAAATAACGAAAATTATAGAAAATAACAAAGGCAATAAATGGTATATTGTCCCTAAATTTTGCCCGCTTTGGTAGATGTTAGTGTAGATAATTTTCACCACTCGAAGATAAAAGTCTTCGCGCCGCCGTGTAATATCGTCTATACAGGTGTCTCAAAAAAACGCTATGGAAATTCAACAGAATTTTTACCTAGGACGAAAGAGCTGTTATTTAGCTTTTCTATGATACCTTTCGTAAACCGTAAGGATGAGAAATGGCCACATTGTATAAAGCGCACGATTTTCTGCTCTTGGGAATTTAAAACAGCTTCTTAAACGGTTTCTTTATGCATAAAATTTACTTACGTCAAGCTTTGGTCACGTGTGGGTTCAGCAGAGTGCTGAGGCATTCAAATTCTAACAATACATTTATTTCAATAGTTTTTTGGGGGACACCCTGTGCATTAATTAAGCCAGTTACAGACGAGCAAGTTTTCTGTTACAAGTTTTTATGTGACAAGTTTTATTTGCTCGTCTGCATGTACGCGCAACTTTGACAATTTTTTCTGTGACAAGTGCATTTGTTCAAAAGCTAGCATGCTAGCTTTTGAACAAGAGTGCACTTGTCATAGAAAAAATTGTCAAAGTACAAATTTTGTTCGTCTGTATGGGTCAACAAAGAAAATTTGTCAAAGTAATCTAAGCATTTGGTGTGATTAGCCAGCGGACTTTAGAATTTTTCTGTCATGGCGGCGATAAACACCTTTTTCTGACACGTTCACACAAGTAAATAAAACTTGTCATATGAAAACTTGTCATATCAAATTTGTTGCATATACACACGTGCACTTGGCAAATAAAACTTAATGTCTGCTCGTGAGGTAAAAATCTGGTTTTAACTTTTTCCTCGTGTTTCCGAAAACTTCCGAAAGT